GCACTCAGGAGGTGGAGGAAGGAGGATTGCTGTGAGTTTGAAACCGGCCTGGGCTACAAAGAAAGCTCGAGTCCAGTCTGAACTGCATAAAGAAAAATAGAAAATCAAAAAGAAAAAAAAAAAAAAAATGAAAAAATAAACAAAAAAAAAGAACAAAAGAAAATAAACCTCTACCCCTTTAAGTTATGGGTGTCAGATATTTTGTCCCAGTGATGTTAAAATGATGACAAAAGAAAAAATGCATTAGCCAAGTGGGAAGATTAATAACAAGAAGTATTTTCTGAGGACCAGGAAAGATATAGGAAAGGGAAATTATTTGAACAGAATGGAGAGCTGTGGAGGTAGATCAGCAGCCTAAGCACCTGCCTGGCAAGCACCAGGTCCTGAGTTCAACCGCCGATACCAAATAAATAAATAAAGATTTAGAACAAAATGGAAAGGGAGACAGCAAATACATAGCAAGAGAAACTACTCATATGAAGAGAAAGGAGGTATTTCCTGAGTGCTTATTGTATTCTAGACCTATTGTTAGGTTATTCATTTATTTTGAAACAGGGTCTCACTGTGCAGTTTAGGATGGCCTTGTGCTCATTTTTGTAGCCCTCAGGTTGGTTTCAACCTCCTGAATACTTGGATTACAGGCATGTGCCACCACACCCAATTCAGGGTCGGCACAGCACAGCACACCTGAGGCTCCAGGGGTTCCAGGGCCAGCATGGCATGTAGAGCTGGATCCAACTCAGGATCTTGTGCTTGCCAGGTAGGTGCTTATACCTCTGAGCTATCTCCCCAGCCCCTACTGTTAGGTATTATAAATGATTATCTCATAGAATCTTCACCATAATTTCTATTATCTTCAATTTACAGAAGAAGAAATAAAAACTCAGAAAGGTCATGATTCATATAGATATCAAATGATATGGATTAGGGAAAATGGAAGGAAAACATAATCTAAGGGAGAGAGGGGGAAGAAAACGTATTTGTTAGGTAAGTACATCCAGGTTGTCATTAAAATTTAGAGAAAGTACTTACTAGAAATTGGAGAGGAATTAGGAAATGCTAGGAACAATGTTTCCAAGAGAAAATCAGCAAGATTAGACTCTGGAGGTAAGAGAAAAATCAAGTAATTAAGGGTATCTTACTTTTTCTGTTGTTGTTTTTGAGACAGGGCCTTGTTACATATTTTAGACTCCTCTTGAACTCACCAAGTAACCCAGGGTGACCCTGAACACACAGCAATCCTCCTGCCTCAATCTCAGAGTATTAGGATTGCACGCATGCATCACCATACCCAGAATGAGGGTATGTCAGTTACTTCCTTATCACTGAGACAACACTCAATACTCACAATTTAAAAGAGGAAAGGTTTATTTTGGCTCAGTTTGCAGAGGATTAAGTCAGATGGCTCCAAGCATGGCTGAGGACAGTGGCTTGTGGCATGGCACACAGGAGGTATGGAGCATCAAGGGAGGAGCTGGAAAGGGAGATACAACCTTCTACATGATGACTGAGTGACTGCCTCTTCCCACTAGGCTCCATATCCTAACAGCATGTCAGCTATAAAGCCTCTATCCATCACCTTCCAAACATCGCACCTATGACCACAGAGGCTTCAAGGGACAACTAGACATAATAAACTGCAATAGACTTTAAGCTAATCTACTCAGTGACTGAATAAATATCTGCTGAGGGCTTGCTGTGTACATACTTACTCCTACATACTTGTAAGAGTCAGGCATGTACAGGCAATCAAAATACTAATTCTTATTGTCATAGAGCATACACTATAGGGAGGGAGAGAAACCTTCACAGAATTACTAACTGGGGAAACAACTGTGAAGGAAAAGTAAAGTGTGTCACAATAGCATCTAAAAAAAGGACCTACCTAGGGATTGTGAAACGATCAAAGATAGGGAAAATGATGTTCAAACTAGGGTATGAAGTGTGTGTGTGGTGTGATGGCACACCTGTACTCCCAGCACTTGGAAAGAGGAGTATAGTTGAAAGAGGTGAAAGCTAGCCTGGACTCCACAGTGAGATCAAGGCCTGCCTGAACTACAAGGTGATCCCCTGTCTCAACAAACAAACAAAATGTATACATTATGATCTCAATAACATATTAATATATCTCACATACAATGAAATTATGGGTGGGTTTTTGGGGGTTGTTTGTCTTTGTCTTTTGGACACAAGGTTTGCTATACACTTCAGGCTGGTCTTGAACTCACTTGATAACAGAGGCTGATCTCAAACTCACAGAGATGCTCTTGCTTCAGCCTCCTGAGTTGCTGGGATTATAGTCCTGAGCCACTATGCCTGGTTATATGGGTGATTTCTTTATAGTGTTAAATATTTCATGTCTTATATAGCCATATATTACTTCGATTTCTTTTGTTGGCCTTGAACTTTTGATCCTCCTGCCTCAGCTTCCTAAAAAACTGGTACTATAGACATGCATCATTACACTGTGCCACATATTACTCTTGTATATTACTTTAAAAGCACATAAATAAATCAGAGTAGCTTTGGATAGAAGGAAGGATTATTAGGGCTAGGGGTATATCTTAAACAAAACAAAAAGGAAAAGAAAAAATGATTCTGTACAACTTAAAATCAAGCAAGGTGTGGTGGAACACACCTGTAATTCCAACACTTGGAAAGCTAAGGTGAGAGCATTGCCACAAGTTCAAGGTAAGCCTGGGATACACAGTAATTTGAAAGCAGTTTAAGGCCCATTCTCAAAAAAATGAAAGGTTTAAAATCAGGAGAAAAAAAAAAGGACATGGACAGAGTCTGTTAAAGGAGGCGTGACTGCAATACTAGAACATTCCTGGAGATTTGGGACAGTTTTGTGGGGTCACAAGACTCAGGTAACACTGGATGCAACCTGGGACTGTTAGGGACCAAAGCAAAATGATATGATTACTGTTGTTGTCAGACACAATAAATCATTCGTGGAACTTCTTCAAAACAGCAACTTCCTCCAGTGATTCTGCACAAGAAGCCCAATAATCAGTATTGTAATCAGAGGGACAATTTCAAGTGAGCTCAGATGATATTTTGGCAAAGTGGCTTAAGACTGGCCTGAGCCAAGCATGGTAGTGCACACTTACAATCCCAATACTTAGGAGGCTGAGGCAGTAAGATTACTGTTAGTCTGAGGCCATCCTGTGCTACACAGTAGTTCAAGACCAGCCTAAAGAGCTAGAGCTCAGTGACAGTGTTTGCCTAACCATGTGAAAGGCACTGGGTTCAATCCCTAGTATTGCAAGGCCAGCTTGAACTACATAGTTAAGACTGTCTCACAAAACAAGTCTGGCCGGATAGCCATAGACAAATCAATGGACATAAAAAGTTTGGGTCTCTGTTCCATCTTTCCAGTTATGTGGGCAGGCTGGGGATGAAACTTAATGGTAGAGCCCTTGCCTAGCAGGTTCCACCCCAGCACCACAAAAACAAAAAAATACAAACAAAACAAATCCCTACAGAGTAAGTCTACAATTCACAATGTTGTCTTCTTTTTTAGTGTATGGGCTTTCTATGTATTTCATTTTGTTTTAAAATTAGAGAAGAAAACAATCAGCTTAGAGAGACACAGGGAAAGAATGGCAAAGAACATGGACCAAAGGTTTAAAACATACTACTACTCAGCTGTATTCGGAACACCAGACCAATCCATTCTGCACCTCACCTTTTGCAGGAGCCCAAAGCCATTCTGCAGAGCCTCCCTTACACCGTGGTCACACAGCTTCTCCCTCAGGTGGTGCTTGTCTGCAGTCCCACCACCCGACTGGTGCCTCAGCAATGACTGCAGCACAGTTCCAAAAGGGTCCGCTGAAACAAATGAGTCAAACATTTCTAAATCAAAATAATCACTAAAAAAGCATTCTCTTGCCTGTAATCCTAGGCCTTGGGAGACCAAGGCAGGAGGATTACTAGGAGGTCAGGGCAGCCGGGGCTACATAGTGAATTCAAAGTTAGCCTAAACTACACAGATATACCTTGTCTCAAAAGAAAAACTAACAAACAAAACCACAAAACAATAACCACAAAACCTCCTTCAAAAAGCCTCCAACGATCAAGAAGAGAAACTGATAAGACGAGAGCTGTGATCACAGCAAATTTTTTTACAACTCCTTTCATACTTTTTTTTTTTTTTAATTTTATTTATTTTGTGTGTGTGTGTGGCCAGCTCAGCCCACCAGGGGGCGGGGCTGGCTGGCATGTGGTGCTGGGGGATTGAACCGCGGTCCCTGTGCTTTGCTAAGCTTGTTCTAAGTAGGTGCTTTAGACCACTGAGCCATCTCACCAGCCCTCATACTCTTTTTTAAAAAATTTATTTTTTGTATTTTACTACAGGGTCTACAGGGTCTCACTATATAGATCAAACTCCTAGTGATCCGCCTGTGTTCAGCCTCCCAAGCACTGGGATTACGGGTGCACCCCTGGGGGGGAGGGCCAGCGCCAGCAAGGAATACTGGGGATCGAACCCTGGCCGCTGCATCTGCTAAGCAGACACTTTCCACTGAGCTATCTGGCCAGCCTGCATACTCTCTTTTAAATATCAAGGAAAATTCAAATATTAAGGAAAATTGGTAAGAATACATATGATTAGAAAATTCTACTGTAAGTCATTAATTAACATTGACATAATTTTCTACCTAAGTGATATCTTCCATGTTTTTAAAAATTCACTTCACTGATACAGCTAGCATGTATTAATGCAAAAGGGTAAATTTGTGATTGTCAAGTATTACAGCTAAAATCAGCTGAGTTCAAAAAATTTTTCCACTCTTTGTGAAAAGTATTTGACTATACTGTTTTAATACAACATGCATGTAAGCAATTCAAACCAAGAAAAAAATACAAACAAGTAAATTCACCCTGGGGCCGGGGAGATGACTCAGTAGGATAAGCGCTTGACTGGCAAACGTAAGGATCTGAGTTCAATCCCCAGTTCTGCAAAAAAAAAAAAAATAAATAAATTCACCCTAATTCTCGATGCACAGAGATATTCACTTAGGAATTTTACCTAAACAGCTGCTAACAATAATTTCTTAGATGAAAGAAAAACAATCTTCCGCTTTCCCAAGTAACTACCCTCCCTTTCAGCAGAGCCTTCTCTCAGCTCACTAACAGGCTAGCTTGGAGCATGCTTACTGGCTCCCCACCTGCCAGACCCACTGAAAACAACCCCTCTGTACCACAGTTTTCTCTTCTATAATAGATAGGGACACTTAATGCCTACTTCATAAAATGGCTGTCTTCTAGATTAAATGAGGTAATAATGGCTGCAGAATAGTGCTAGCATGTAAAATCTGCTACACAAATATTTGATAAGCAAGATAAGTCTAAATTATAATACTAAGGCTAAAAATATTCTTTTATTCAGCCATTGCTAAATATTTAGGTTGCTTCAAATTGTTATTATAAATAACACTAATAAGAATCACTTCTCACATATGTGATTATCATCTTATGGATGAAATTCTCTAAGACTTTACTAAGTCAAAGGTCACTGTCAATCACTGCTCCAGAGCTCACATCACATTTATGCCGTATATTGGGGGCTGGTGAGATGGCTCAGTGGTCTAAAGCACCTACTTAGAACAAGCTTAACAAGGCACAGGGACCGCGGTTCAATCCCCCAGCACCACATGCCAGCCAGCCCCGCCCCCTGGTGGGCTGAGCTGGCCACACACACACACACACACACACACAAAATAAATAAATTTAATTAAAATAAATAAATAAATATACCGTATGTTGCCCCAGCCCTGCAGTCACAGTAACTTTCACCTGTATTTCTCATCTCCTTTACTCAGGCAGAAATCTCAAGGGTCTCCAACTGATTAACTTCAAATTCTTTTATCTGTTTACTGGCCACTTATACTTTTCCTTTCATAATTATTTTGGTACAAAAGTGGTTTGTTTGTATTTACCGTAGTCACGGTTTGCAAGGGAAACAATTTAATATAGGACATATAATTTATGGGATTATTTTATAATAGTCACCCAAAAAGTCAAATACAAATTTGTTCACACACTAGAAACCCAAAGAAACCAGCTGAGCACCCAACAAGGTCTCATACAAGTCTATATCAAGGATCTGCACTGGGGAGGCCCAAAAGTCAGTGGTGGGAGCTAAAAAGTCTGTGCCATCAGGATGAAGGATCTGTGTCATCAGGCTGAGGGATCTGCACTGAAGCCAGGAAACAAGGCTCAACATGAGGACCACAGCTCCCCCAAGGAGAACCACAGCCATCCTCAGTAACATCGCAGACCTGAACTCCCCTGATAATGCAAACAGCCAATTTCATATCAGGAAAACCAGTGTGACCAGCTGCTTCAGGAGAATCAACAGCACCATCTCTCCCTCCCCAGTTCTCCTTTTTACTGTGCTGGCAACAATCCTCAAGTGGGTCCTCCACACCCGGCACCATGCTGATTAATTTCAGCTGCATATTACAAACTGACCACCAGCTGTCAATCCACCGTGTTTTCATTATTTTGATTTTTAAATAATTGGATTTAAAAAGTCTCACTATGTAATCCAATAAAGTCTCACTATGTAATCCAGGTTAATCTTGAACTCACTTAAATTCTCTTTCCTCAGCCTCCCAAGTGCTGGGTGTGTTAGTTAATTACTCTCACTGCTGAGACACCCAAAGTTAAAGGAGGAAAGGTTTATTTACCTCATAGTCTGTTAAGGTTTCAGTTCATAATCAGCTGGCTCCAAGGCAGGGTGGTACTGCAAATCAGAAACACTTCATGGCAGGCAGAAGGTAGCAAAGCAAGGAAGGGAAAGGGACCTTGGCAGCTTTTTCTGCCCTTTTTAAACACTATCTAGGCTACCAAGATTGAGGCAATGCCAAGCCAATCACTGTGCAGCCCACACTGGCCTGAAACTCACAATGATTCTCCTGGCCTTAGCCTTCCAAGTGTTGGGACCACAGGCATGCACCACTGTATCTGGCCTTTAGATTTTGTACTATTTTGGGAAAGGATGAATCTGTACTACTTGTTGCTAAAATAGGTTAATATTTAGCCATGTTTTCTTCTCTTTAATACTTCATAGTTTAATCATTTGGAATCTGATATAAAGGATAAAACAACCACTAGGAAGACAGTACGCAATGTGTTAATTATTGAAACTGTCCTATCAATTTGATTTGAAACTGTCTCATTGCTATTCGTCTGTCAATAAAATTATGGGAAAAAAAAAGGATAAAACAGGAGTTAATATTTTTTCAAGTATCTAACCAGTTTCTCAAAAATATATTTTATCCTTTATTATTGAATACTATCTTTTTTTTTTGTGGAAACAGGGATTGAACTCAGGCCCTTGTGCTTGCCAGGCAAGAGCTTATTCTACTAAGCTATCTCCCCAGACCCTAGAATACTATCTTTAAGAAAAGATGAGCATAAGAAAACAAATTTTGGGCCGGGAAGATGGCTCAGAGGAATAAGCACTTCCCTGGCAAGCGCAAAGGCCAGAGTTCAATCCCCGGTTCCGCAAGAAAAAGAAAACAAATTTTAAGTGATATATACACATCAGTGACTAACATTCAGCCTTAGAAAAGAGGAAAATTCTGTCATTTTCAAGAAGAAATAACAAGGATATTATGCTAAGTAAAATAAGGTCAACACAGAAAAATGAAATGAAATGATATAAAATAAACTCAGCTAGTTTAAAAATATGTATCTGTTATAGTTTGTGTATAGGTGTCCCCCAAAGCCTTATACAGGCATAGGGTAGCTTCTGGAGTTTGTTATTGTGGATATGGATGCTGCACCTGCCCTGGGGCAGGTATTTTGCATTACAATGTAAGGAGGCAAGAGAGGCTAGCTAGCTGCTCTTTGCAACAGCCAAGAAAGGCTGCTCTCTGCCATGTGCCTCTTGCCTTGAAGCCAGCCAAGTACGAACTGAAACCTCCAGTAACTGTGAGCTAAATAAATCTTTCCTTCCTTCATTTTGAGTGTCGGGTGTTTGTCCCAGCAACGAGAGAAGAGTAACTAAGACAGTATCACAGGTTTATCTTCTGAATTACCTATCATACTCCACCAACTTGTCTAATCGTCTCACAGTACAAGAGTCTGCAGATTAACCTAGCTTTACAATATACTTTTATAGATGAGTGCCCAAACTATAACCCCAAACCAACTCAAAGTGCCAACACTGCAATTAAACCTGAAAACTGAGATTTAATTTAGAAAACACAACTCAAGGGGTCAGGGAGATGGCTCAGTAGACTAAGTGCTTCCCTGGCAAGTGTAAGGGCCTGAGTTCAATCCCCAGTTACACACACACACACACACACACACACACACACACACACAAAATTCTGAACATAACTCACATATTGATGTCTTCTGTCTTAGAAAAGCAAGGAACATGTGTGCCATATGTTTGCCAGCACTACATGATGCTATAAGGTTTTCCCTTATTAATGTTCTTTTTAGATTTTTCCTGGTTGCCTATTATATATTTTTGTTTTATTTTTTATTTTTTAAATTAATTTTATTCAGAAACAAATAGCAATGACAGAGTTTCAAAACTGAAAATAGGGCAGTTTCAATAATTAATACATTGCATATTGTTGTCTTCGGAGTGGTTATTCATAGTACAAGATGCAGACATGATATCCTGTCCAAACACTATTAGTACAAATCTTTCTTCTCACTGAATTAAGAGAAAGTAGCTGTATATCTATCCTATTGTGTATACATAGATACAAAATGGTCCTTCATTTGTTTCCCCTTGTTTTTGTTTAGCTTTGTCAGAGATGGGTATTCCATTGCCATTTAAATACTGTAGGTATGTGAATTCAGCAAAATAATCCAATATACTCCAGTAGTCCATAAGTGGGTTATCTGTAGGACTAGCCATGTCAGAAGTTGTTGACTTAAGCCCTTTACAGCTCAGCATATTAATATGGCTTTACTTTTCATACCTTGTTATTATACTTATATTTAATCTTCATGATGTACCCTGAAACTTTTTTTAATGTTACTGTGGATCAAACCACAAATTATTTTTCAGGTTCCCCCCAAAATCCTATTTTAATTTACACTGAAACTTTGTTGGATAGGTCTATAAATTAACAAAAAAAATGTAATTTTACTATATTGTCTTAAGTGAGGCAAAATGAAGACCTGATCACTGTCTCTACATAGCATGAAACATTCAATAAATATTACCTATTCCTATCCAAAAACAATGTATAGCTACATATAAACATTTATTATTCAAAGATAAAGTCAACTATTAGCAAATGCAACTTACATGTCCTGTTAGGGTTAATATGTTGTTTCAGTACCTCAACAGTGCCCAAGCTAACCACAAGGCGCCTGCCAAACCAGAAAGAGACCACAGGTCCATATTTCTCATGCAGATTAACCAGGAACTCATGCAAACTTCCGCTGGTCATGATATCTGGAAGATTGCCATCTCTGTTAAAATACAAAACAGCATTTAACCACATAACAACTTAGCCTGAAAATGCAGAAAAACCACAGCTGACTCTAAATTAACTATATCAATAGATAAGAAAAAATGTCCAAGAACTTTAAATTATTCCAAAATCCAAAACTCAATTATATTTGCCTTCATACTGTGCTTCTATAGTTATATTTAGATACAGATTTTTCTGAGAACTTTGAGAATTTGTAACGCTTCAAACTGAATAAGAAAGCCACAGCAAGAATGTCTGATATGGATTCTGGTAAATAGTAACTTTGGCAGCACTGCATTCTAAGCCAACAACAGCCATCATCCCAGGCTGATGAAGATTATGGGATCTCTTACAGCAGTGTTTTCATTTTTCTTTCTAAATTCTGTCTATTGTCAGCTTTCTCCGGCAAACGGAAGTGAAAGCAATTCATAGTTTAGATTTATACAGCCATCTTTTTAGTTCTCCACAAAGTTTACAATGTGTGTGCAAAGGTAAATTTAAAGTAAACAAGGAGAGCTGGCGAGATAGCTCAGTGGATTAAGCACCTGCTTAGGCAAGCACAGGCACCACTTGCCATGCTGTCCCAGCCCCGGGGCACACTGAGCCAGCCACTAGACCACAGTGGTGGTGCATGCCTATGATCTCACAGCTGGGGAGGATGAAAACAGGAGGATCACTACAATTCTGAGCTGCTGAGCTGCGTAGTGAGATCCTGCGCCAAACACATAAAAATAAACAAATAAGGAATTAAACAAGATGAATAATCTAAAAATACAGTTTAACTTTGTTACCAAAAATGAAAAACTGACTCTAGTACAAACAAGTACTTACTTTTCTTCAGTCGGAGCAATACCTGGAATCCCTGCAGCTTGTCTGGAAGCCTTAAGGGAAAAAAAAGTTTCATTTTGCCTTATTTTGTTTTGTTGAGACAGGATCTCAGTAAGTAGTTCAAACTGTCCTTGAACTCACTATGCAGCCCAGGCTACCCTTGGTCTTCTAAGTGCTGGGATTACATCCCTGGTTTAAAAATACATTAAGTGAAAAAAAATAAATAAATAAAATAAAATAAAAATATATTAAGTGATAAAATAATTCACAGAGATGGGGAATTTCAACTATTCACAATTTTCTACTAGGTTCATGGTTGCTAAGGATAGATGGTGAGTTATTTTTAACTGGGGGGCATGGTCTCATGATGTAGTTCAGGCTGGCCTTGAGCTTACAGTGATCCTCCTGCCTCAGTCTCTTAAGGGCTGGAATTAACAGGTGTACACCACTACACCTGGTAGGGTTACTTTCAAATTTTAAATTAAGCATGTTATTACTTATATAATAATTACTTATAAAAAATAATTCTTGATTGGGCATAGTGGCACATGCCTGTGATCTCAGCACCAGGGAGGCTGAGGCAGGAGGATCACTGCAAGTTATATGCCAGCCTGGGCTACACGATGAGTTCCACTGCCAGCCTGAAATATGTAACATGACCCTGCCTCAAATAATAATAAAATTTTAAACTAAATATTTATAGAAAAAATATTCAACTTTAGAAATGATCCTGAGGGCTAGCACAATAGCTCAGTGTCATAAGCACCTGCCTGGAAAGCACAGGTCCCAAGTTCAATCCCGGGTACCCCTGGAACCCTGGGCTCACCATACTGCCTGGGCATGGCAGCACATGCCTATGATCCCAGCCCTAAGGGAGACTGAGACAGGAGGACCACTACAAGTCCAAACTACCTAGCCAGATTGTGTATCCCCCCCCCCAAAAAAAAACTGATCCTGAATTTTGTTATGATTTTGACTAGCACAATACTAATCATCTATTTAGCATTCTATCTTTTTCTACTTAACATTATATATACAAGAGAATATTCATGTCTGCATTTATTTGGAAACTTTAATGTTGCTAAAATTGTTTAATTATTTTCCTGCTACATTGTTGGAAAACATCTTGCTTACTACTTTAATTATTACAAATAGTGGTACTAAATTTTTTTCACCCCCCCCCACTTGGGGTTCATCATACCTCCAAAAGAGAAATCAGTCTGATGGTTCTTTTTTTTTAATTTATTTATTTATTTATTTATTTGTGTGTGTGTGTGTGTGGCCAGCTCAGCCCACCAGGAGGCGGGGCTGGCTGGCATGTGGTGCTGGGGGACTGAACCGCGGTCCCTGTGCTTTGCTAAGCTTGTTCTAAGTAGGTGCTTTAGACCACTGAGCCATCTCAGCAGCCCCCAGTCTGATGGTTCTAACTGAAGGATTTTTACAGTTGCCACTAAATACTGTAACACTAATATCAGGCAACAGTGTGTGTACCTAAAACACTAACCTAGAATGCTATCCTGCACACAGGTAAGTTTAATATTATGAACAGTAGAGAAAAACAGGGAACAGCCTCAGATTTCTTTTTTTTTTTTTTTTTTTTTTTTTGTGGAACTGGGGATCAAACTCAGGCCCTTGAGCTTGCCAGGAAGCGCTTATTCCACTGAGCCATCTCCCCAGCCCCTCTAGCCCCAGATTAATAATAGCAATAAAAGATAAAAGTCAGTAGTATAAAAATTCTAACTTTTAGATAGGCAAGGTGGTGTATGCCTGCAATCCCAACTACTCAGGAGGCTAAGATGGAAAAATCATAAGTTCAAGGCCAGACTTGGCAACTAAGCAAGGCCCTGTTTCAAAGTAAAAGGTAAAATATTAAAAAAAAAAAAAAAAAAACCACACACACACATACACAAAAAACAAACAAACAAACAAACAAACAAAACACTGGCTATATAGCTCAGTGGTGGAGTATTTGATGAGCACCGACAGAGTTCAATTCTTAGTAGCTTTAAAAAGCTAAAAACAGTAGGGCTGGAGAGATAGCTCAGTAGAATAAGTGCTTGCCTGGCAAGTTAAAGGTCATGAGTTCAATCCCCAGTACTAAAAAAAAAAGCTAAAAACAGTAACAATCAAATCGTTTCTACATTAAACTACTACTAATAATAATAATTGTCTTTTTGAGACAGGATCTCGCTATCCAGTTCAGGTTGGGCTTGAACTCACTCTGTAGCCCAGGCTGGCCTCAAACTCACAATGATCCTCCAACTCAGCCTCCTACACTAAAATTATTAATGACTAAAACAAGGTTCCTGTAGCATGTCCCTCCTTTCAATCCCTGATACTAGAAGGAAGGAAATAATATTAAACTTACCTGTGTGCAGCATAACATTATACATTGGTGTTTTCATTGTCATCATGGAAGTGCAAGGTTCACACACTAAGCTAGCTTTCCTCCAGTAAGTGGTAATTTGTGAGTGTCATTTTATACCCAAATATGAAAAATAACTGTGATGGGGAGGGGAGGTAGCTCAGTAGAATAAGTGCTTGCCTGGCAAACACAAGGGCCTGAGTTCAATCCCTAGTTCCGCAAAAAAAAAAAAAAAAGAAAGAAAGAAAAATAACTGTGATAAGGTGAACCCAGTAGAAAAGCCCAGCTGGGAAGGGACTGACGGCACAGCTAGGAGGCACAGGAGCTGCAGCACCACAGCTGTAAAACCAAAGTTGGAGGTGCTGGTATGCAAAACCAGGAGCTAGAACATTAGGAGCAGCGAGTTACTGACACTCAGAAGTCCAAAGCTGCACCTTCACAATTCACAACTGATGTCCAAATTGAGAAAAAAAATCCCAAGGCACTTGGTAACAGGGTCACAGTTGTAACATCTCTGATCTCTAAACATGGTGGACAGCAGAGATAGTGATGCACACCTGTAATCCCAGGACTCAAGAGGCAGATGGATCACCATAAATTTAAGGTCAGCCTGGGTTACATAGAAAGACACTTTCTCAAAAAAAGAAAAAGAAAAAAGGGCCAGGGAGATGGCTCAGTAGAATAAGTGCTTCCCTGGCAAGTGCGAGGGCCTGAGTTCAATCCCCAGTTCTAAAAAAAAAAAAAAAAATGGTAGGCTGATAACATTCCTCTCTTATCTCCACACCAAAGTCTCAGTAAAATAAAGAAATAAGAGACATGAATGAGAATGGAAGAAAAGTGAGATCAAACATCTCAAGTATTAAGCTATCAAGGGAGTCAACTTAAGAGTTGAAAGCTCTCCCCTAAATATCTGCAGATGATTCCTAAAAAAAGCAATTAGATTTGCACTGTAGCAAGGAAGGCAAGATAATATACAATGTAAGATACAGACTTGAACTTTACTGAGAAATCTGCATATTAATTCCATAGGCCCTCTAGGAGTTCTCCTCCATGCCTATTTTTATTAATCCTTTTAGAAGACTAAGATTCCAGATTCAGGAACAACACAATGGGAGTGTAACCTCTATGATTCTAAAGAGGAATCTAAAACAGACTTTTACACCAAGTCCAACTACTATTCAGGTGTGAAAACAGTTCAGAGATATACAAACAGCAAGGTCTCAAAATTTATTTTCCATGCACGCTCTTAGGAACCTACCAGAAAATGATGTAGAGCAACAAATAAAGGAAATGAGAGGAAAAAGAGAACCACATGACCCTGGCAAAGAGAGTAGGCCACACAGGTTAAAAGATTCCCCACAATGATCATGAAAGGACAAATGCTCTGCAGCACATGAAGACAGCAACCAGTATTGTGTAGGAGCAGAGTGCGCCAGAAATGCATTCAGAGTGGGAAAGCCACAATGATGAACTTTTGATGAGGAAAAGGAAGAGAAAGAGGAGAAATGACTGTCCTCAGAATCGACGAGTTTAATGGTGTCATGTCTTCAGTTGAGTTCCAGAAGCTGACTTGAAAACAAGTATTGCCAGGGAGATGGCTCAGTAGAATAAGCGCTTCCCTGGCAAGCGCAAGGGCCTGAGTTCAATTCCTGGTTCTGCCAAAAAAAAAAGACATTCCATTTTGGGGCTGGGGAGATTGCTCAGTGGAATGAGCGCTTCCCTGGTAAGTGCAAGGGCCTGAGTTCAACCCTCAGTTCCGCAAAAAAAAAAGAAAAAGAAAAAAGAAAACAAGGATTAAGGACAAGTAGCTAATTTAGTAGATGATCCAAGGAAACAATGGAGGACAAGGGAAAAGGTCCTGCAGATAGGGAAGGAGCTTAGATATGGTGACTACTGGAAGGTAACCCGACAGGTCACTGGGGTTCAATCCCACTGCAAACCCTGAACAATAGTATAAAATATCTGTGGCCACATGTGACTAACAAAGATCTGAAATGCAATTGATCAGAACTAAGTTGTGTTCCAAATGTAAAATATACATTGGGTTTCTAACACAGTACCGAAAAAGGTAAACTAATTGCTAAATTCTGTATTAATTGTATGTTGACCTGATAACATCTTAGATACCTGGGTTTAAATAAAATATATTATTAAAATAAAAACAAGATGACTGCTATAGTACTAACCTCCGCATTTTGTTAGTAGAAATTTGCGGCAATTATACTCTCCTGCCCTTTCCTACATCTCCAAACCATTAAATGATAATGAAGTACTCCAAACAGGCATGTATTAGACTTGGTAAAAACCTGAAAAACTCTATTCTCTCTCCAATGATAGCCTCACCGTATCCATATACCTTGAGACCATACAGGATGTTATTACGATCTTGTTTTTTTCCCCATCATTAAGGACTGAAACCAGGACCTTCCTATTTCACATCCACAGCCCATTTTCGTTTTTATTTTGAAACGGGCGTTTGGCTCTGTAATTTAGACCTGTCTTGAACGTACTATATAACCCAGGCTGGCCTCAAATCTCCTGCCTTAGTCTCCCAAGTGCTAGTATTACAGGTGCATACCATCACACCTGCCTATGATCTTTATGCTAAAGTATCAGAAGAAATCCTGGACTACCATTTTCTTTCATTTATTTACTTATTTTTTAAAAATTTATTTATTTATTTATTTATTTATTTATTTATTTATTTCAACCGGGGATTGAACTCAGGCCCTTGCGTTTGCCAGGCAAGCGCTTATTCTATTGCGCTATCTCCCCAGCCCCTTTATTTTTATTTTTTTGTTGTCGATATCGGGTCTCACTACACAGTTCCGACTCATATTGATCCTGTCTAAGCCTCCCCAAAGCTGGAATTACAGGCGTGCGCCACCACAGCACGCTGTATCAGGGACCGAACCCAGGTCCTTCGGCTTGCCGAAGGCGCTTAGGTCACTGAACTATCTCCACAGTCCTGAACTACCATTTTCAAATCTACCCCTCTCCCCCATGACGGCAAATCTTTTCAAGTTTTCAAAGACAAACAGCTGGCTGGGACACACACTCCATAGGTTCCCTACCACTGGGCCTAGAATGTAGTTCTACAGAAGTTCATCTTCTTCCCTAACCTAACTCTTCCCCTATTCAAATCTCCATCCTACCTCAGCCATTCACTGCCATGATCACCTAAATCTTCCTCAGCCATTCACCGCCATGTTCACATAAGTCTTCCTCCTACCAAGAACTTCAACACCTCCAAAATTTAAATTTCAGGCACCTAAATCTCTAATCACGTATCTTTCCTTCTAACTTTAACCACCTACTCATACATTTCCCACTCTTCCCAACTTAGATTTCCTGTTGGATGAGTACATGGGTCCCGGGGCTGAGGGCACACAGAGAGAAAGGCAGGGGGAGGGCGGACGACAGCCTGCGGGAGGACGCTCGCAAAGCAAGACCGCCTCCTTCCTCTCCATACACCGGGTGCGGCCAACTACTCGGAAAAGACCGCCGCGCGGAGGCCGCGCCACGTGACTGCGCGCCGCGCCACGTGACCGCGCGCTGTGCCCCGCGACGGCGCAGGCTAGAGCCTCCCCTCAGGCCCGCCCCCTGCGGCCAGCCTGGGGCTAAGCAACACCGACGCAGCAAGAGGCTGGGACAGCGTACAAAATCCCCGAGAACCGAGATGGGTTACCGGGTAAAGGTAGAGCACTGCTCCCACCAACGCCAGCAAGAAGGTCACGGCGAAGATAGCAAAGTCCAACATGGCTCCTCGCCCCGGAGCCACGTCTCAGATTTTCTACTCCGGCAGCAGCAGCCCAGGATGGCGGGACTAGAGAATAGGCGTGTGGGCGGGGCACTCTCAGCAAGAGGACCAATAGGCGAGAGGGGGCGTGGCCAGGGCTGAGACTGTGCGGGAGGCGAAAGCAATGGATCTCCGAGGAGCCACAAAAGCAGAGATCCACGCCACAGGTTTTTTTGTTTTGTTTTGTTTGAACCGGGGATTGAACTCAGGCCCTATGCACTTGCCAGGGAAGCGCTTATTCTACTGCGCCATCTCCCCGGCCCCCACACCACAGGTTACGCAGTAGATGATCCCAGAACAGCCTTCCGCTTGGAGGGATCCAGCGCCTGGAACTTTGCCCAGTGGATTTAAAATGAAAACCTCTAAACCGTGATTTTGAAAGTGTAGTACTGACACTAGCACAAACAACCTTGTCACCCGCAAACGAGATAAGAACGCAGATATTTGGTCCCCACCCCAAACCTCGCTTGGAACCACCCGCAGGGGAGAGGGGATGCAGCAGTCTGGGGGTTGTCCCAGTACCGGTGGTTGGCCCCTTCTCCCTAACTAACTAGCTTCACAATTTTTGGAGGTTTTTTTGGGTTTTTCTGAGACAAGAACTAGCTAAGTCCCTAACTTGCCCATATCGAGCCCATAACTTTCAGCCCTCCTGCCTCAGCTTCCCAGAGAGCTGACATCAACAGTGCAGTATGTTGTTTTTTTTTTTTTTTTTTTTTTGGTGGAACCGGGGATTGAACTCAGGTCCTTGATCTTGCCAGGGAAGTGCTTTTTCCACTGAGCCATCTCCCTGGCCCGCAGTATGTATTTTGACAAAGCCCTCTCGGAGATATCATTAAACATTTAAAATTTGAGTTAAACACATAAAACCACTGAATTAAGCTAACCTAACCCGGGCAGAGACATGAACTCTCAAGAATGAGGCCCCACATTCTAATGCATCCTAACACAGTGGATGTGATTCTCTGACACTTCCTATTGAGCATAGGAGGCAGACTATGGATAGGTCTGTTATATCTGGCTGTTAGTAAATTCCTTGTATTTATTTATTTATTTATTTGTCCTGGGAATCAAACGCACGGCCTTGTACTTGCTAGGCAGGCCTTGTGCCACTGAGCTATATCCCTAGCCCCATTCCTTGAATTTCTTAAGCTTCCATTTCCTACTTTGTAAAAGTGACGGTAATATCACAATGAGTTGCCTGTAGGATTAAATTACATATATTAAAAAAAAAAAAAAAAAAAAAAAAAAAAAAAAACACCTCACAAAGCTCTTAGCAGAACTAAACTGCCAAGTTCAGTTCTTGAAAACTCCAGAGGGACAACAGTGGAGGATGAAGAAATGAAAACAAGAGTCAAGATGCAGAAAGCTGAGGTCATGTGGAGCCCCATCTCCTGATGGGAGAAAGGAACTGCCCTACAGCTGCAGCACATTTATTCAATCAGCATAGGAAGAAGTTCACAGAGAGTTTAAGGGAAAGGTAGGATTTAGGACAGGAAGAATATCTAATTTTCAACAGAACAGCATGCCTTGATGATTTCCCAGGGAATAAGGGGTGAGTGTCTATATTATCTCAGAAGGCCAAAGCACTATGTGCATCAACTCCCTGAACTGCATACTCTTCTCACTGGGCCCTCCCAGACTCATAAGAAGTGGTGGCCTTGTCCTAGATACCTCATGTACAGCAGCCCCAACACTGAGCAGTGCTGTGTAGAGCAGTGTTTTGAAGTAGCTGCTCTGGGCACCTGAAGAGCTTAGTCTTCTACCATGCAGAGATTTTGACATTAGCTAGTGTAAAGCAAGACCTGCTGCTTATTGATACTTCTTTTAGTGAAAGTATCTTAAAACTGTGTATAGGGTTTACAGGTTTGATAACTTGAAATGTTGAGAATATGCAGCAGTTAAGCCAAAGAAATCAATCCAGATTGGATTTCACCTAACTCCATAGATGCCTACTACATAATCATGAAATGTGCCACATAAAAAGCCCCAAATCTTTTGCCAGGCATTCTCATCTTGGGTAGGCATATTGCTTACCCAATTCTGGAGGAGACATGCCAAAGAAACACATATGCGTGGGCCAAATAGTAAGAGCAAAAGGATAATTTTTGTATGTGTGTGTATCTTTTGAAACAGGGTTTCCCTATGCAGCTCAAACTAATCTTGAAGCCACTTTGTAGCCCAGGCTGGCCTCAAACTTGCAGCAATGCTCCTGTTTCAGCCTCCAGAGTCCTGGAATTACAGATATTGCCACTATTGTGGGGCCTGGAAACTATTCTTAAGGAACTAGAATAGCAATTGTAACCTACTGGCTCTTAGGCTCCTTTACTGATGGAGTCCAATATTTTGTCATAAGTCCCTCTAATTTTAATTGTAATTATCTCAAAAATTTTGATGACTTGAGAATCAGATTATAGCAACAGTATTTTAACCAATGAAAAACTGTCAGGTTATTGTACATAGACAACAATATGTATTGTATTGGTAAAACCTGTTTAAGCATCATGTTGATTAGCTGGCAACCTGGATAGATATAGATATAGATATAGATAGATGTAGATATATAGATATAACAGTATTTAAGCAGGATAGAATGGCTCCACCATATGTAAGCAGCAGAGACCACCAGGCTTGTGAAAAGGAAATGTGGCATGAAATTTATTGTGCCTGGGTTACCCAGGCAAAGTGTAATAAGGCCTTCTGCACCAAACAGAGAAGTGTATTCCTTCTATAGGGATGGAGAGAAAGCAGGAGGCATTGAAAAGGAGGATCCCAATGAACATCTGTGGGGTTAAAGATTCCTGGCAGTTTTTTGTATCTCAGTGGACAAAATCCTTTAAAGTGTAAATTCTTGAATGTCTCCAAGTGTCTCTAGGACCTTCAAAATTCCTTGCTCTATCTTAGCTCCTTTCCTGCCTCGTGAAAGCCTTGGGTACTGAGTTGAATTCCTCCTAGAGAATAATGCTTCTGCTGGCAAACAGGCAGGGTCCTCAGCGAGTCAAGCCCAGTTTGAGACTTACAGATGGGAAGGTGGGCTTTTAGGCATAACTAAATAATTGGGTGAAGAGAAAGTTTTCCTAACTACAGCTGAAGTGAGTTATTTTTTCTCTGGTGACTGCTTATTGAGGTATGATGAGTGGTAAGAAGGCCAGAGTTGGAGAAGGACAAAGAGACATGAGCCTATGTCCAGAAATAGGTCGGTTTCTTTTTACTCTATAATCATGATTACTCAGGGCTTCTCTGTGGACATGACAGGTTGAGATGAACTTCCAGTCAGAGGGAAGAGGCAGAGTGCTCTGGGGCCCCTTAGTATTGCTAGATCAGCTGGGAAGACAAATCTGAGTTCTAGAGCCTCCACCTTAGAGTGCAGTCTTACAGTGGCCACATTTGCAGTCAGGGCATGCTGTGGGGGTTGTTTTCAATTTGAAGATATTTCCCGGGGGCTGGGGAGATGGCTCAGTAGAATAAGCTCTTCCCTGGTGAGCGCAAGGGTCTAAGTTCAATCCCCAGTTCCGCCAAAAAAAAAAAAAAAAACACCCAGACATATAATAGTCAAGGTCCCAGAAATTCAGCACAATAACAGCATACTAAAAAAAAAAAAAAAAAAAAAAAAGATAAACAGAAAAAGATATTTCCCAATAAAATGATGCTCAAAACAACAGCAAACAGAAGACTTAAAGTGCACACTGTAGCTGCCTAACAGGCACCTTAGGCAACAGTCCTCCAGGATGTCTGGACTCCACTTTAGTCCTAAATTGAGATCCTCTAAACCTTGACCATCTATGAGACAGAGACAAATTTCAAGTTGGCCAGTGTACATTTCAAATACTGAGTCTACAAAAAAGGTAAGAGCTCAGTGACAGAGCACTTGCAAAGCATGCAGACTCTGGATTTGACTCCCAGCACCACAAAAACAAAGCCACAAAATACTACTATCTTGGCTGGCCAAATAGCTTAGCAGATTAAAGCGCCTGCATAGGCAGACACAGGGGCCAAAGGTTCAATCCCTGGCCTCTCATGCTGCCCCCCCCCCAGGGCACACTGAGATAGGGATTGAGACTGGGCATGGCAGCCTGTGCCTGTAATCCCAGCACTTGGGAGGCTGTAAACAGGAGGATCACTATGAGTCTGATCTATGTAGTGAGACCCTGTAGACGCTGTACTAAATACAGACCAAAAAAAAAAAAAAAAAAAAGAAAGAAAGAAAAACTGCTATCTATCCCATCTTCTTGTATTTGCCAAACCTCTTGCCTAGATGCTCTGTAGAAATATTTGGAATAACCATATAAAACATATATACTTCATATATTCTTGTGTTGATAGAACATTATTAACTTGATATACATTAAACTTGGGCCAGGGAGATAGCTCAGCAGATTAAGTGCCTGCTTGGCAAGCACAAGGTCCTAAGTTTGATTCCTGGTACCAAAAAAAGGGAGGGGGATATCAAATTTACAATAGTTTTTTCTTACCTTTTTGAAATTCACAATAGTTAGGAATCTATTTCTTACAGCTTTTCCATTCAGAACTTGTTCTACAGTGTATACAAAACCAACTAAAGCTAAGAGTATGCAGCCTGGTTGTACTGGAACAAATCTGATTCATAACTATGCAAGGTTTAATTTTCTAGTCTGATTTTTGATAAATATTCCTTAAATGGATTTTGGGGGAGGGTAGGCTGATATCTTTAAAACAATGGCCTCGGGGCCAGGAATATAGCTCAGTGGCATAAGTGCCTGTCTGGCAAGTGCAAGGTCCTGAGTTCGATCCCTGGTACCGCCAAAAAATAAATAAATAAATAAAAAATAAAACAATGGCTTCTGGTTAGACAACTTCCTTTGAGTTCTTACATTTGACTTAATTTAACTGATACAACTTAAAACTGAATTCATGAGCTCATCTTTAAAGCTTTCACTGAAAAATGTTCAGCTGTTCCAAGTGAGCACTGTGTATGAGAGACATTTGATTCCTTTTTTTTTTTATTTTATTTATTTGTGTGTGTGTGTGTGTGTGTGTGTGTGTGTGGCCAGCTCAGCCCACCAG